ACATCCACCGTTCACCATGCACCATGTACCATGCACCATTACAAGCGATGCTCTTTTTGTACGCCATGTACCAGTTACCTGTTCGTATCGCTGCCATTAAGAAATATTCTGCACAAATAATAATTAAGATTGACAACACAACCGCAAGAAAATTGCATGATAAATAAGTGGATGTGCGCGGAAACCAGTGTTGCCACTCACTTAATAGCTCTACCTACGACCAAATGACTATAAAATCAGCTACCGGCAACCGGCAAACGATTGCTGCTTACAAACCTGTATATGCAATTTTAAGTCTGTGGGTATGTCTGAGGTAAGGTCAACGCATTGTAGGGTTTGTATGAAAAAATTCAAACAATTTTAATCGTTTATTGAAAAATAAAAATTACATAAATTTACATTCACACCCTCCACTACTCATTGTCTTTCATCTTCACTTTTAAAATGCAGAAGGGCGTTGGCGAGAGCAAGTAGTGTGATCACACCGAGCTCAAGGCGCAAGTGCACCATTGTCTCTGCCGCAAAGACACTGAAAATATCGCTTTGTGTCAACTATTTATATACTTATTTGTGCTATCTGAGTCTGCAGCGGCCGATAGGCTGACAAGATACTGATGCTAATACCGAAATTTTAACTTGGTTGTTTTTGATGCAGCTTAAAACAGGTTGTTTTAGTAACCGCTTGCCTGTAAGGGCATAAGTTAATCGATATAGATATGAATATTAATATTTTAACAAACCAAGATTGCTACCTTTCCAAATAATGCAAATTTAAAAAAATAAAAGAACACGAAAACTCAGTTCTTAACAACTTAATTGTCTTTTAACTATTTAGTTTATTACAAAATATAGATTATTTTATTCAATTATTTGAATACTTTTGGTTTAAACAATTTCTCTGGAAAGTGCTTTGATATTTTAATAATAATAGAGTATTATTTTGTTTACAATATTATATTTGCTTAAACTAATTTTGTATCGGTGCACAACTTTGCTTCCGCCGTATATATAAAGATATATTATTCAAAGTATTGTTCTTTCTTTTCCCATCTTTCCGGTAACTTTCGGATCCCGGCTCGAAAAAAGGAGTCCTTTTTTGACGCTATCCATGAAGCAATCCTTTTTTCCAATTCTTAGAAGGATTGAAAATGTTGATCTGGCAGGCCGTGTGCCATGGAACGGAATAGGTGGAAGTCAGAAGGGGCGATATCTGGGGAATACGGCCGGTTGGGCGAGACTTCCCATTTCAGCATTTCCAGGTACTTTTTGACCACTTTTGCGACGTGAGGTCGAGCATTGTCGTATTGGAGGATGACTTTGTCATATCGCACTTGATATTGAATCATGCCCAGCGCCTTGAGACGTTTTGAAATGGCTTGCTGACTCACTCCCAACAAGTCGGCAAGCTGTTCTTGGGTTTGGCACGAGTTTTCATCAAGCAATGCTTCTAGTTGTTCACCTTTGAAGGTTTTTCCCTTCCACCACCATGTTTGTCCTCGACATCGAAATCACCATTTCTAAAACGTTGAAACAACTCCCGACACGTTCTTTCACTCAGAGCAGCATCACCGTAAGTTTCTGAGAGCATTTGATGCGCTTCAGCTGCATTTTTTTTCGAATTGTAACAGAAAAGTAAAACTTCCCGCAAATGACGAGAATTAGGCACATAATCGGACATTTTCGAGCGTGAATAATACGAAAACAAGAACAACTGTCACTGAAACGGCGACGACAATTCGTTAGGCACTGTCCACACTCACTTTAAAGGCATTATCATCTATGTATTTCAACCAGCCTCAGCCGGTACAAAGTTGTACACCTGATACCTTTTCACATTATCGGATCTTAGATGATTTTTAAGATTTCATTTATAATGGTAAATGAATCCTACTAATTTCGAGCAGGATTTCGAATGTCTTCATTAGCCGGACGATAAACTACAACCCATAGTTCTCCCGGGAATATCGTCAAAGTGTGAAAAGAGCAACAAAGGCAAGAGGGGCTTAGCGGTAATAGTAATTGTATTTGTGTTTATATACAAGTCACCTCATCCTTCCTCTGTCTTTCTACTGTCAAAATAAGTACATTCAATAGTTATATCAAAAGCAGCCGGAGCTTAAAAATATTCGTCATTACTGTTTCTACATATTTAACGGTGAAGATAGCTATTACGCAGGTAAAAAGAAAATTTCTCGAAACTCTTTAGGATTTATTTATATATCATTAAAGTATACCGGTGAAACTAATTAAAAACGGTGGCGAGGAACTATCAAAAATTCACGCATGCCTGGAGATTAGAGCCAAGCCATGGGAAATGCCTTTCCCCCGATGTATAATCTATGAAAAGGGTCTTACAGCCTTCGATAGTTATAATGGCCTCCTCAATATAGCGAATAAAGGCTTATCTAGCATAAAGTATGAATGAAGGGAGCCCACCACCAATGAACTTATAAAAAGATAATAAATAATGTGGTTTGAGACTTGGTAGATCCACCATATACCCGATTATCACCATATACCAAATCTTGAAAAAAAACCGCGGAAGAGACCCATCACGTTCCCACCTTCCTGTTGATAGTCATAGCTCTGATTAAGTGCACAGTTAAGGAAGATATGTCCGTCTGTCAAGGTTACTAATTTACATATGCGATGTACATACGTATGTACATATTTATTTATTATTCTACATATTTTTTTGTTAATTAGTTTTTTGGTGCCGCCAAAGACTTCTCTACCTGGTTCTTTCCACGGAGTGGAGGTCTTTCTCTTCCTCTGCTTAAAACGGCTGATACTGCATCGAAACATTTCAAAACTAGGGTATTCTTATTCATCCGCACCATATACCCGATTATCACCATATACCAAATCTTGAAAAAAAACCGCGGAAGAGACCCATCACGTTCCCACCTTCCTGTTGATAGTCATAGCTTTGAAGTCGTACATAATTTCGTCTATCTAGGAACCAGAATCATATTCTCCTTCTTATTTACTGGCCAAGACACCGCTTACACGATCATAGCCGAATTTATAACATTGCGCCACTCATTTCCTTTTTTCGATGTTTGGTGCCGCCAAAGACTTCTCTACCTGGTTCTTTCCACGGAGTGGAGGTCTTTCTCTTCCTCTGCTTAAAACGGCTGATACTGCATCGAAACATTTCAAAACTAGGGTATTCTTATTTATCCGGACCGCATGCCCTAGCTATCGCAGCCACTGTATCTTGATTCACTGAACTATGTCAATCTCGCCGTATGTCTCATACAGCTCATCATTCTATCCGCTGCGGTACTCGCCGTTCCCAACTCGTAGGGGACATGCTTTCTCTCATCTGCGTAATGGCAGTCCTTATCGTACCAGCTGATTTTACGACCTTTTCGAAATCCAATAAGTATACCGAGTTGGTGATGAGTGCTCTCAGAGAGAAAGAGTGCAAGTCGTGTGCTAGAATCTAGTAACACAGACAACCATATTTTTGGCCCCGGCCGATCAGCCGTAACCCATTAGAGTGTTTCTTGTTGTAAGGCTGAATTTCCCGACAGTAGCACTAAAGATATATTCTTTGCCCACCCTGACATTAAAATCAGTAAGCATGATTTTCACATCGTGTATCCTCGAAGCGCTCGTAAAAGGCATTCCTTGTTGTGGCGTGGACGCAATGCAAAGTGGTATTAAAAAATTTGGTATGGATGCGTATTGTTGCGAGACGTTCATCCACTGCGATGAATGCCAGTACTCGACGCAGGAGTCTCTCCCACCTCAAATACGACACCGGATTCGTGCTCCTCTATATGACTGTTGCAAAAAATGTAAAAGTACTTCCGTGCTTTTTCCGTTTATTGCACCTCTTGGACGACGGTGATGATGATGTTTTTACGAGGACATCAACCAAGAGACCGGACCAAAATCATCACTAACAACAATATTAGTCTTGATATCCAACACAGATAACCAACCAAGAGTTACTGCCAACCGTTCATCTCGACGAACAAGCTCAAACTCAATAAGTCGCTCATTATTCCCGTCCCGATGTATGGTACAAAAACGTAGGCGAGGGCGACATACGATGAGTCGGCGCTTTCAAGAGATATGCAGCAAATGGAAAGATAAGCCATATGTGATGACACCTTCTACAGGGCGCAATGAATTAAGAGACGGCAACAGTCTAGGTCATATCTATACTGTCCTCAGGGATGAAAAGTTTTCGATACTTTACCGGCGGGTGGAAGCAGAGGTGGAAGACGTCCACTCCTTTGGAAGCATCAGGTAGAGAAGAGGCTGGTTCACTTCGACATCAATGAAGACGAAGCCTAAAACGACTTCAATGCTTATACTTTTTTGTGTATTTTTTTAACGCACTAAATTTTTATACGAAATGAAGGGTATTTTTATGATCAGAAAGTTGTTGTAATGCGTTTATGTTATTAAATGCGCATATGCTGAATGTTTCACTATTATTTTATTTATGTTCTTACGGTCATTACTGTTAAGTATTTGTACATCAATATACAGGCATTCATATGCACATACACACTCTTATCTATGTATATATGAATAACGAACTTTTTGTTTTTTTTTTTTTATTTTGCGAAATTTCCACAATTGCTACCATTGACTAAATATTTATTACCTTTCTCGGGCATAAACAATTGTGTTAGTAAAGTTGTCATAATTCAAAAATATATACACTCGAGCGTAAAAAGGTATTCGTTAGCGTCCCTCACACCCAACCCAACAATACCTAGGGATGCTCTTGCGAAGGTCATATGAGTAATGATGGGGATAAAATTTAGACACCATAAAGATAAATACACGATATACTCGCACATACATTTTTACATATACAATTATATTTATATACATACGAACATGTACATATGTTGCTGTGCCCCTCAAACTAAATGCGAGAATAAGCGTGAAAACACTTATCAACTGCGTGTGTGAGAGAGCGATTATATTTGAGTGGGTGGGTGACTGATATTTAAGTATATTGTTAAGCTCACCTGAAAATATGTTTGACCCTTGTCTACCCAGCCGATGGCGATGTCGGAGCCAGCGAGGTTGCCATCGGGCGAGAATCCAAATCCAACGTAACCCAGCGTACGTGCCTGTATTTCGAACGTAATATCCTGATTAATGATTGTCCATAAAATGCGAAAATCCTCATTCAAATCGACGGCATGATCCCAGCTCAAAGCGCTGCCGCCACCGCCACCACCGCCACCACCGTCACCACCATCACCAACGGCCCTCAGTTTGCTACCAGCTTGGCCCGCAGTGGTTGTCGCACTATCTTCACTAACGTCGGCCACTGCTGCTACCTTGGCTGATGCTGCTGCTCCTGCTGGCAATGTCGCTGTCACAGTCGCTGACGCTGACGCTGACATAGCCTCTGTTGTTGGCACACGGAGGCAACACACAACCACGATGAAACAGGATATAAAACATGTGATTAACGATGACAGCGATGAACTTGAATGTTTCACTTCCTCCTTCTGCGCTGTTGCCTTAGCAGCGACCTTAGTTGTTGCATGGACCATTGTTGTTGTCGCTGTTGTTGTTGGTGGTATTTGTGTTGTTGCAAAGATCGTCGTAGTCGTTGCCATTCCGTTCTAAATTAATGATATCGCGATGAGTGTGCTCGAATGCGGTCCTGCGAGCTTTTGCGTGCGTTTGGGTGGGAATGTAACGACGTACACTCGACCAACTGGCTACTCGGTTGCGTGTTAATAGTTTTCAAAACGTGTAACAAACAAACAAAACAAAAAACCAACGACGAATAACCAAAAGAATGTGCGTAAGCGTTCTGACCGTTTGCTATTTGGATGCGTGTACCGGATTTGGCAGTTCGTTTTAATAAATTACTCTGGGGTTCACCAACCGATTTCGTTAGCAGCTCTGCCAGTCAGCGCTTTGCTGTCGATTGGTCTTTTTCACTTTCTCTCTCTCTCACACTCCCTCCAGTAGCACCTCGTCTAAAATAAATGTATTTCCTGCGAAAAACACAAACCTCAACGCGCACACACAAACACTGATTCCTGTGAAGTATTTATGTGGAGCATATGTGTGTGTGTGTGGGCGAGTGTGAGCCAAGCCAGCAAGTGCTTCAAAATAAAGTTGACGGCAATTGGGCGCACGTCATTTATTGCTTTTAAAGCCCGCTAGAACGGCTTGCAGCGTTTGCAGACCGATGACTTGCCAAGTCCTTTAACGCTGACGTAGCCTACGCCAACTGTTTAGCTTGCCTCTGTTTTGTGTTTTGTGGCTCCTGTGCGAAATTACTTATTATGGCAATGGGCAATAGTTGGGCCGTTTTGTTGCCGTATTAAAAACAATTTTCTCAGCCGGTGGCCTCGTAAGAGTAAATCTACTCTATGAGCCTTTTTTATGCGCTGTTGCTTCGTCAACAAATGCTACTGATGGCTTAGGGTATTACCAATCTATGTGCATGAGTGTGTGCGCATACATACCTAAGAGTTTGTTAAAATAGCTAGGCGTAAGATTTGCTTTTTTCTGAAATTTCACTTTGCAATTTCACTTTATTTGGCCTTTACTACTTTTTTTTTGTTTTTTTTAGGTTTCTTTTGTGCTTTGTATGTCTTTTAGTTTGATATCTTTTTTGTTATTCTTGTGTATATATGTGTGTGTGTTTTTTTTTTTTTTTTTGTATATCACAGCTCTGATGGTATAAATAACGTTTACGCTTGTTTTCAGAATGACTATTTTGGTGGTTTATTGGTCTATACGGCCAATATTATTAACGAGCGCGAGGTTGGGCTGGGCGCACATTGCCTCCTTTCGATTTTAATGCCTAAGTTTTCTTTCACTTTTTGCTGGATTTAGCAGCTGCAAATGTCAGGGGCTTTATTTTAATCGGAATTTTATTGCATTTAGCCTTAACTTGATATCGGAAGTGGAGATTGTGTGCAGTTTCAGTGCCAGACTTTTCTCTTATGACTGTTGTTGTTTTTGTTGCTGTTGCTGTAGTCGCTGTTGGTGTTGGCGTTGGTGTTGTTATAAGTTCATAGAGGTAAGGACGTGCGACAAATCTTTCTAATTAAGTTTACTTTTTGCTCTTCCGTTCACGTCGCTTTTTGTGCGTTTCGACGTCTTCGTGTTGCGCTCACGTTGGCATTCACGTAATTTGTACGCGACTTACCGGTTTCGGTGGCATCAACCTTTCGCTTCAGCGTAGTGATGTGAAGTGCAGTTGCGAAGTTGTGCTCAGGGTGCGTGCACAACTGTGGCGACACAGCAGCGTGCGACGTCTGAAAGACAGAAAAGACAAGAAAATTACACGTAATTAGTTTAATTTACTTTTGAAAATGTGTTTGATGTGTGTTTAGTTGTTAAATCGAGTATAATTGCGTAAATGCGCTGAAAAGACGGAATTCAACTGTCAGAAATGCGACTCTGAAACGGAGAAGCGTCTGCTCGCAAAATACCACAATGCAAAATGGTAAAGAGACGACCAAAGCGGAAAAAGCATTGGTTGGTGGTCGAAATGAGTCGAAGTGAGTGGTACTGGCGGGGAACTTTTAATGCAGACAAATCACCAATGAGGGCATCAAATCGTTGTGCTGTAATCTGCGTTTGATGGCATAAAGGAGTAAAAATTACTCACTGATGACCGTCTTTGTCGGCAGCAATGGAGTGACCGACGGCTTAGAGCTTGTGCTTGGCTTGATATTCATACGCTCACACAGCTTTCAATTAGAAGCATTCCAGCGAACTACGTTGAATGAGAATCTTGCTAAAGTTTAACACGAATAGATGGAAAAGAGTTGAATATTTCTTGAATACCTCGGAAAAAGATGGTTTGAGGCTAACGATTGACAACAAAAATAGTCTTTTATCACAAAAAGTTTTTTTGGAAAAGTGGAAAATCTTAGAATATATGCACATACATACATATCTACATGCATAAGTAATTTGAAGAAGCGAGTTTTTCTGGAAAAAAATTATCAAAGTTTTTATATTATATTACGGGTTTTTAAATCGCATGAAAGCAAGAATTAACAGGTGTACTCGTATGTAGTAAGTAATATGGCCGCTGCTGTAGCTGAGTGGTACTGACATTCGGATGTGGAGAACTCGAGTACTGTCACTTCTAACATCTAAAAATTACAGAAATTTAATTTAAAATAAAAAATATATTAATTTTTCTGATTGCGGTCGCCCCTCAGCAGGGAATTTCAAGCCCTCCGGGTGTATTTTTGGCATGAAATGAAAACTCCTCATGAAAACCCATCACGGGTAAGTTCGACTAGAACTCCATAATGGATACCCGGTGGATATTTACATAAAGTCCCCAGATCGGTCGAGGTGGAAGATTTGTTATATCTTTCACTTCTGGCCATGCCAGTGATTTTGAATGGGGCCGAAAAGTGTCCAAACAAGGGATAGAGCTACGCCTGTTTGGTATTTTTTCCTCCAGTCATATTTTTTACGTCTGCCTAGCCGAAGCACCGTTAACTATATGAACAGCTTTTATATGATATTTTAAGTTCTCTACAAAAAAAACCTTTCTCTTAGGTTGCCTGCCCAGGTTGTTTGAAACAAGGAAGGTACACAAAATTGGAACATAACGAACCGTTAAACATAAAAGTAGTATTTCTTTCGCAGATCAATTAAAATTGAAAGACTTGTTCCAACTATTTGCCACTTAAATTAATTGTTCATAATGCTGGGCTGGAAATCCCAGATTTTGAGTTCCCAGTCCAGAAACTTTTTGCTTAGAAGATCGATGGTTTCGCTGTTCGTTGCTTGTGTGGTACGTAGCGCTGTCTTGTACCCATTCATCGAAATTCTTGCTCGAGGCTCATTTTCGTAAAAGTAAGGTCCAACGACCCCGGCAGGCTATAAACTGCACCAAGCGGTTACAAGTTGACACTTGGGGTTTCTGAGCGCCCGATGCGCCAATTTTGCTTATTGCCGCAGCCATCGAAGTAGAAGTGTGTCTCATGAGTCAAGATGATTTTTCGATGAAATTCAATCAGCAAAGAGACGTTGTTTTTGATGATCGGCCGAATTTTGTTCTTGTGTTAACTGAACTTTTTAAGCCTTTAGATCCAAGTCTTTATGCAAAATGCGGTGTAATGACGTTTTTGGAATAACCGATTCCAAAGAACGACGAGGAATGGGCCAGCCGTGGTTTCCCCCAACAGTTTGGCCTATAGCAGCACAGTTTTTCTTGAGCGTCATAACACTAACTTGTCACAACAGCTCCTTTTTCCCAGCAATTTATGTATTGCAGTCCGACAGGGTGCTTCACTACGATCGAAAAATATGTTATTTTAGTAAATTCTTTCCAATTCGCTGTTGAAGCGTGTATCGTTCCATTTTTATTATTATTAGCGTAGTTTTTACTTGTCAAACATCAAAAATGACAGCTTCAAAAGTGACATCCACTGGAAGCAGATTTTTCAAAATAACGCATCTTATTGAAAACCGTTACAATTGCTTTAATTTGGGCTGAGGACTCAACATAACTTTTTGGAACAACAGCAACAACCACTTACCTTCGCAGCTGATATAAAGTATGGCGCAAACCCCAAAGCCAATCGCCCATTCTTATCAGAACTCAATTGACTTAAGATTTGAGGTTAAATACTTATGGGTGCTACTCTGGCGAAGAAGGTGGGTAAACCTTTGAGGTATAAATATGTATACATCTTTAGATTGCATTAAAAAATATATGTATATTTGCTTCTAAACATACATATGCATACATATGCGCTTGAGTACCCTTCTAAAATTCTATACATACATACATACATACATACACATGACGATTGAAATTGCCGAAAGCGAAGTCAATTAAGGTATTAAATATATATACATACATATATATTTTCGTAAGTACATACATGCAAAAAAGTAACGTTTGTACATATGAAAGCTTTCAATTCGTCAATTTGTTACGACACGGATGCAACATTTTGCCATAGTTATGCATTTTGAAGCAGACTTACAAAAAGTTCTGCTCCGACATTAACGAAACGGAATGAAAATGGCTGAGTACAAACTCGTCAAGGTAATGCATAGATGCATACATACTCGTACATAGAAATTTCCATCGACTATTGCTCATAAACTGCATCTGACACAAACAAGTCTAATAAAATTACTTTGCGAATTAACTCAGCTTGGCAGCATAACGGAGACGATGTAAGAGAAAATAGCTCCCGGATACACATTAACAGCTTACATCAATTTGCTAACGACGCTCGGAGCTGCAGTGGGAAAAAGTAGAGTGCATAAATGACGGATAAAAGCTGTAAGTAATATGTAACAATAAAAACGAGGAGAGCTCATCATGTACATGTATTGTACATACATACGTGCTTGTAATGGTGAGGTTGTCATCTTTCAGGGTCTTTTAGATTTTTCTCGATTCTTCTTTAGGCACTGAATTTTTGTTTTAGAAAATATATCAATACTTCTTTGCAACTGTGGATCACCAGATAAAAAAACTTCTTGTCGAAGCAAACCTCAGAGAAAGCCTTAATGCACTATACAGCTGTTCTTGAAAAGCCTTCTCCGAACCTCTGCTGCTCAAATTAAATGTCTTGTTTTACCTTCTTCTACGTTTGTGGTTTGCTGTGTGTCGTGTAATTTAAAAAAATTCTTTCCCACTCCTAATGAGCACATCTCGTTTCACTTGCACTTAATAAAAATTGTCTAATCTTGGCATTTTCCATAAGCTGCTGAGAGGGTGCATTGTGCCTGCGGTAGTTTCTTACAATTCTTGTATTTTCTCTGACAAAGAAAATTCATACTTCCATACATATACAAAAATATACCCCGCAAACAACGCGACTACTCCATGCACGTGTGAAATATATACTCCAAGCGGACAATAGAGTCGTCCAAAACTAATCACAGTACCTACAAAAATATGTTCCAATTAACATTGCGGTGTCCTAGGCTGGACCGTATACTCCACCTCTTCTAGACATCCGAGTAAGTTCCACTGTAGGGTTACATTTGAACATATTGTACTTTCTACTTTCGAATACAATCCGGTTTGGTGAAAAGTTAGTTAAACTATTTTTTTTTTTTTTCATATGAAATTAAAGTCTTAGCAAGCGTCAAAGCACGAGCAATCATCGACTGATAACAAGCTGTTAGCGAGACATGAATTGGTCCAATATTAAGCTATGGAGGAGTACTTATGGTATTACTCTAACTGAGCAAAGGTTCCAAAAATGTTTGCAGGGTATAAATACATTAGATACCTACAATATAGACATTCACATCTACATATATCTATATATGTATATATAAACTGTATGTCTGAAACATTAAACATTTTCCCATTTTAATTTTCTTCCACAAGATTGCATTGGACTAAGCGAAATTGACTAATTAGAGTCATTGGATATTTTTCTCTTTCACTATGCAGTGCCATTCGCTTATAAGTACATAGGTACATACGTGTATAGCTACGTTTATATGTTTCCAATGCAAATATTATGTGCTTATGTGGCTATGTGAATATGATAATATAAACGGAATGAAAGGAACATTTGTATGTATGTACATATATTTAGCTCTTAATATGCAATTACGTACATATTTATAAAATAAATATATGTATGCGAAAGCATAAAATAAACGAAACATGTTTATGAAACAACCAATTGCCCTGAAACTTAAGCAGCACATCCTTACGTTTTCAATATGTGTATATGTATGTTTGTATGTATGTATGTATGTATGTATGTGCTCATTAAGAGTTTCATTCATAACTGCCAAAGAGTATTGCAGAGCAGAAAATTCGTCAAATAAGCTTGAAAATAATGAGTAATAATTTATTTACTTACATATGCACATAATGTATGTATGTATGTATGTAAATGTGCATTTACAAAGTGGTTTGTGTAATTGCTGTCATGTTGTTTTAAAATAAATTTTTTTTCTTACCCCTTAACTTTTGTATTTGGTCTTGTTGCATCGGTTGTGTTTCCGTTCTGTTTCATCACATGCGATAAATACATGTACATACGTATACATACATACAAACATACGTTTATACGGTTTTTAATAAACATGTTGCACAAATTGTATTTATTAGTTAAGAAAAAGACTAGCGAAATTAACAGTAATGTTGCCACAAACGTAGCCATGGATATGTCATAATTAAATCAAGAGAAAAATTAATATTTTTCAGTTATTGGTTTTGGTAAGGGAATAATGAAATGTCTTCGGTATAGAGATATGTACGTATATACGAGCTTGGAACTACATAGAAAAGAAATAAAAT